AGAGACACAGAGACACACAGAGACACACAGAGACACACAGAGACACACAGAGACACACAGAGACACACAGAGACACACAGAGACACACAGAGACACACAGAGACACACAGAGACACACAGAGACACACAGACACACAGACACACAGACACACAGACACACAGACACACAGACACAGACACAGACACAGACACAGACAGACACAGACAGAGTTTCGTTTCAACAACACATGCTGCAGCCGTTCTTTTGTGGATGTCAAAGCGATCAGAAGACGCCCAAAAAGGTGCCGCCCCCGTACTGCGCGCCGAGGGCCGGCGGAAGCCGCGCCGTGGCCCCTACCTCCGCTCCCGGGGCCGGCACTCCGCGCGCCGCTCCGCTGCGCTCTGCGCTCGCACTCCTCTCGCGTCTTCCTGCAAAGCTCGCGAGGGGCGGCGCGCTCGCGAAGGTCTCTCTCGAGCGGGGAGCGCGCCAGTCCCGCGAAGAGGGGCTGCGCCTGCACAGGTGCCAGTCGCCACGGCTGTCAGGCTTCGCGAGGAGCTGCGTGTCAGAGGGAGAGACCTGGACTGGGAGCGTGCGCTGCGCGCAGCGAAGGCCGCGGCCTTTGCTTTGCATCATCCGAACCCTCCCCTGGCGAGGCCTCAGTGCGGTCGGGCCTCGCTGTCTTTCTCTGTGCTCTGCGTCGCCGCAGGCTCCTTGAATCAGCTGCTCCTCTTCTCCGGCATCTTAGGCCTCAATGTCAGGCGGCTCTCAGCTCTCAGCTCTCTCCGACTGGCCGTCGAGCCCCGAAGCATCCCCGAAGGCTCATCCAGTGGAAGATCCAGCTCAAGGCAAAGAAAGCAGCGCCTGCATAGCGCCACGTCCGGAGAGCGCTCTGCGCCTGCGGCCTCCGCAGGAGGAGGACCAAGAGCTGGAGGAGTGAGGCAAGGGGCGGAAAGACGCCCGCGGGACCGCCCAGCCCCCAAGGGCAAAACGAGAATTCGAGCTCTGTCCGCTGCGTCTCGGCGGCAATCCGCCGAGCAGGAGTGAAGGTGCTCTTTGCTCTTGTAGCCCTATAACTCGGATTGGGCAAACGCACCTCAGACTAAGCGGGGACCTTGAATGGAGCGTTTGGCTTCCAGCGCACCATGACATGGATGTTGGCGTGATGACTCAGCCAGCTCTGCAGCATTCCAGCACCTATCAGACTCAGTGCATCTGCATGACCACTAGAAAGGGACGTCCAACTAGACATGCGCAGTGCGAAGCCTGCGAAGCATGGGCCAATGTGGTGCTTGGACGTATGTACACGCCACTGCTCGAAGCTCAGCTGGGAGGGGGAGCCGAGGGCATGCCGGAATAGCGTCGGTACCGCATGCCGCTTGGAAAAGCTGGAGATGTGAAAGCAGTTTAGTTTAGACGAAGAGAGCCCATACCCGGCATAAGTGATGCTGCAGGCAGTAGCAAGGAGAAGACTCTCGTGACATGCAGCTCGAACTCGTAAGGACCTTCGTCGTGAAAACGAGGACACCTCGGCGCAAGGTGTGCGCTGTTTCCCTGAAACGCCTTTTGGAAGGAAGCTCATGTTCCAGGCTGGGAGCTGTCGCCCTGCGTGAAGGGCAGTCTGAGCATCTGCAGCGCCTGCGGACATCCTGCGAGTGTGTTTTCGCAGCCCCGCAGTCCCGCCCCGCAGCCCGGCTGAGGAAGTTTTTGGGCTCGAGAGAGTAGAGGCAGTAGGGCAGCAGGGCAGGGGGCGGCCACAAGGGCGGCCTCCACGCTGCACACGCTCAGTCGCTCAGTCGCCGTCGCCGCAGTATGGGCCAGGCCAGCCGGGGGGCCGGCCCGGGCCGGGGCCGCTGCGGTGCTGCGGTGGAATGCTCGCAGCGCAAAGGCGGGCAGCGCAAGCGCGGAGCTGCTGACGCTGGGGGGCTGCTCGCGGGCCCAGCCTCGCGCAGCAAACGCGCTGCCGCTTTGAAAGCCCGCGTGCTGCGCCGCTGACACCCAGCGCGTTACTCCGCGTCCTTCGCGTCTTGGCGCTTGCGCTCGGCCGCGCTGCATGCGAGGCCTCGAGAAGCTGGGCCCAGCGCTCGGAGAGCGGTCGCGGTCGGAGGCGGCGGGTCTGGTCCGGGCGCCGAGGCGATGACGAGCTGCTTCGGGCTGCCTTCGCTTTCCTGCACTCGCCCGGGGCCCCAAAGAGAGCCGCGGCATCCGGCGGCATCTGAAGAATTTGAAGAGGGAGACCCGGGTCGGGCTCTCTCAGGCGGCCGAGCTTGCTGGAGCGTGCCCGGGCGCGGTTCTCGGCGCCACTGGACTTCGAGGCGCGAGTCGTCTGAGGGACCGGCTGACAGGTGATAAAGACCTCTTATCCTCTTCTTGCAGCGCGTACTGTATCACTCAACAGTGTTCAGCTTAAAGCCAAACGAAGGGGTGCGGAAAGTAGAGCGGTTTCGCAGAATGCAAGCGTGGAGGAGCCCCCGCAGGCCCGGTTTTGTGAGCGTTCACGGCGCCCGACCGAGGATCCAGGCCCGGCCACGCCCCAATCGCTGGCGAAGGATGGCGTCACGATCCTCGCAGAGAGCGAGTGGAGTCCCCCGCGGCTTCACTGCAGCGAGGCACTGGCTGAGATTCTGCAATGCCTTAATTGCTATGCCTTGCTATGCCATTCCATGCAATCTTCCCGGCCCCGTCTCCGCCTGACAGGTGAAGCCTGGCCAGCCTCTTGCATGGCAGGGTCCTTGCAGATTCAAAGTGGGTTTAGGGCCTTAGGCTAGGGGATCGGATGTCGAGTGCTCTCACAGCGCTCAGGACCTCGCTCCCAGGCCGATCGTGACCCGGGCTTTCAACAGTGGCCTGCAGTGCATGGCCTGCAGTGGGCAGTTGCGAGGCCTCGCGATGGCTGCCAGTCGCATCGAGGGCTTCCGCGGTTTCTGGGCCTTGCGCTTTCCGGGCACCCGCAAGCTGGAGCAGCGAACTCGGGGAGTCACACGTAGACAGACATGCAGACCTTGCATATCCTTGCATGCACTCCTGCTCAAAGCCTGGGGTCCAAAACTGACATGCCAGCTCTGTGGCTGTGGTGCAGAGCCCAGGTTCCTTCTAAATGATGGCTACAACAACTGGCAGAAGTGGCTTGGCAAGCGCGTTGCGGGGAAGCAGATTAAGTTCTTAAGTGCCTGTCCCTGCACCGATCCTCTCGCGACCATCTCTGTCTCTCGTGTTACATGCGCTTGCCATTGGGCAACATGCACACATAGGCTAGGTTGGCACAATGAGGAAGCTACATAGACGGCACAAGGCCGCCGGTGCGAGAGGAAGCCAGAGCGAGAGTTGGTTCCCTTTCTCCGTTTAGGAACGGTGGTGCGAACTTTGTGGCCGACGGGCCTGGGCTTTTTCTGCTGCGCGACGGCAAGCTTCGGCGCTGGGCCGAAGGAACGGCGGCAACGACTGCACCCGAGGCCGCAGGTGCCCACGTTTGGAGCGGTCGAGTGAGCTTCTTGTCGAGGCACCTCAGCTGACTGGTGACGCATTGGAGATGGCCAAGGAGGCACACGACACGCTCACAACAAGCGATCATGTGCAGGCCTATAGATACGGCCGGCGGGGGGTCTGCTCGGCTCGGCAGGGGGGCATCGTGTTCCTGTTTCAGAGCCGCTGGGCCAAGCCGCGTCTGCACTACCGCCCCAGTGAGGCGCGGCCCGGGTCGGCTCCGGGTCGGTTCTTGGGAAGTGAAAATTCGCAGGCTGAGCCTTGGACCAGCCCTCCTGGCGAGGTCTGAGACTGAGAGGGTGGGCGCGCTCCGCTCGCTCCGCTCGCTCCGCTCGCTCTGCTCGCCGAGGCGATGGAGCCGAGCGGACTTGACGGCTTTCCACACCGCGACGGCTGGTGGGCGCTCCGCCTGCCGACTGCTCAGGCAGGCTCTGCCGCGCGTAGCGCGCACCGACGGCTGGCGCTTTGGGCAGGCTCTGGAGTGCGTGCCCAACGATGGAGGATCTCAGTGGCACAAGGCCTGAAGCCCCAACTTTGTCGTGCACTGTGCGACCTCGAGCGAGGTGCGTGGCGGGAACTGTCACATACCCGGCGCGCAGCCTTGAACTGCACGGTCGGGCGCAGTCGCTTTTGTTCGACAGGTCCTGGTGCCTGGACGCTGATGGGAGAAAGTCTACAAAAGCTCGGGCAGGCGGGAAGCCTCCTCCCGGCGGCAGGGGACGCCCCGCGGGGCGCGAAGTGCTCTCTCTCCTGGCAGGCGATCACGGCAGCGCCGGCAGTGGCAGCGCCGGCGTCCGGGCGTTGGAGAGCGAAGGCGAGGGGGGGGCGGAGTCCAAGTTCGCTTCGAACTCCGCGAGGCCCGCACCGTCCGCGACCGTGGGAGCGGCCTCGGACTCCGCGCCGCCGGTGGCTCTGGAGTCGGCCTCCGAAGGGCTGAGGCGTCGCGGTCGGGGTCCGCAGCGGTCCAGCGTGGGGCTAAAGTCCCCAATGAGCAAGGCTTTGCACTCTACACATCTTCCGATCGTCTTCCCAACCTGCGAATTCGAGGGCGTGCTTTGCGAGGCTGTTGGAGATGTTGGAGGGCAAGAACGTCGTGCTGCTCTACCGCAGTGCCTGGGCCAGCCCACATCTTCATTGCAGGCAGTTGACGGATCAGGAGCCGCGGATTCGGCACAGGGCTTCCATCTGCTGCTTCCTGCATCTGCGAGCGCAGGGCCTTGCCGGTGCCTGGTCCCAGCTGCCCGGCCCGAGACCCGGAGCTGTGCTGCGGAGCGCGGAGCTGTGCGGAGGTGTGCTCTTGCGCCGTTTTTGCAGAGGCCTCCCCTTCGCAGCCTCGGCAGCGGCCGAGGAGACCGCCGCTCACCGCCGCCGCTTTGGGGGGCAGAAGAGTTCTTTGTCAGAGGACTTGGAAGGTGCAGGGGAACTCTTCGTGGCCCGGCTGCCCGCCGAGGTGCAGAGAGGGCCCTGCCCAACAGTGGCATGTGCAATGCCTAGAAACCCCACACACAAAAGGTTCGAGGCCTGGAGTTCGTGCTGAATGACGGAGGGCCCCACTACCGCTGGGACAAGGCGCGCCCGATCACGAAAGAAGACGGGGAGAGAGAACGGAAAGAAGAAGCAGAAGCCAAGAAGCCTGAGGCGGCCGGCGGCGGGAACTTCCGGATTCCGCCGAAGTCCGAGGGTGCCGGGCACCCGGTGGATGCAGGGTGTACCCACTGCAGGTGAGGTCTCCTGCCCGAAGCAAGGTCTGGCTGGTGAGCGGCGGCCGCCTGGAAAAGCTCCAGCCGCCGCCCTCACCCTCCGACGCACCCACCGTGGCGGGGGAGAGAGCGGGAAGGGGAGAGGAGCGGAGATGGCGACGACACTACTGCAGCTCTCTGTGAGACGGCGGTGACCCGAACTTCCGTCGCACTCTCCTGGCGACCGGCGGCCTCCAGCGTGAAAGGCGCAGACTGGGCTTCGGAAAGATGGCGACACGTCTGATCACGTCTGCAAACGGCCGCCAAACGGCCGCCCACCTCAGTGAGGCTACCGGCTCTTCCGGAACGGCAAGCAGGTGGCCTCCCTGGCCTCGGCGGTTGGGGACTCGGGGAGAAGAGACAAGCCGGTTGCAGCGCTCGGCGCTCCCCCACTCCCGAAAAGAGTCGTGTCTCTTCCTTTTAAGGTTCTGCAGTACACCGATGCTGGCCTCCTGGCGGCCCACGAGTATACCTACGCCCTTGCAGCGGTGAGCACGCAAGGCAAGGCCAGAAGCAAACAACCTCTGAGAGAGCGCCCTTACTTTCTGCGAGAGACGCCTCAGGGGCTCTGGGCACTGCGAGCCCCACCGCTTCTGCCACGACGGAAGCGGCAGGCCCGCAGTCCCGATGGCCCGAGACGAGAGCCGTAGCCTTGGCCTTTCCTTTGCGGCCAAGGCCCTCCGGGCAAAGTGGGCGCTCTGCGGGTGTCGGCCGCCAGTGGCCGGGGGATCTCGCTCGAGTGGACCGCGCCAGAGGAGTGCGGCCGGACTTCGGTTCAGATGGATGAGAATTAAGATGAAGCATCGAGGACACCGGTGGCGCCCCGGTGACAGCCTACCTAGTCCAGCGCTCCGACAAGGAGGCCGAATTCAAGGCCCAATTTCGCAGATTCGAGGCAGACGGGCGGTCTCAGGCGCCGACGACATTGCTGGCCTCACAGCTGGCCGGAGAGAAGCGCGAGAAATTTGCCTGGACCGGACAATGCTGCCCTTTCGCACGGTAGTGCATCGATTTTTGGGCGGACTTGCACGATCTCGCATGCTGTCGTGCAGGACAGACAAGGACATCGTGCGTGGGAGCAGCTACAGCTACGTGGCTAAACTCTTGACAAGTCGTAAAGTATGGAATTCCTGCACGTTGAGTAACCGACGAGGAAGGGCAGGAAAGAACATGGGAGCCCATGAAAACTCCGGGGTCCTTCTTTCAGAGGCGGCCCGTTCAAGCATCCAGTGGGCTTAAAGAAGATTTCACCGGTACATCAGTTTTTTGATATCACCATAACTGCTGGTTCCAGCAGTTGCTCTTTCTGATCCGAGTCCCAAATACCCAACAGCTTCCAAGCATAAAGTGCTAAAGCCTCGGCAGGGTTCAAACTTAGCCAGAAGACGCAAATCCTGGCATCTCAGTCTTGATCCTGGCGGCATCTTGGCAACATGACTTGGGACATTTGATCCCTGCCGATGTTCTCACATCCAAATGCAGCCAGGCTCAATTATAGATGCCAAAAATAAAACATTGCCAAACCGGGGAATGCGGAAACCTCCGCAGCCTAAATCCCGGCATCTAGGAAGGTGATATGGCCATTGCTCGAGATTTTGATGAGGCACCCTCGCATCGCCAGCTAGTCGACGGGGTGGAGCGAAAGGAGTGATCAGTCACACGTCGACATGGGCGCGGCGACAGCAGCACCGAGCACGCTGAGCACACAGCGGTGCATCCAAGAAACCCTAAACCCGAATTAAGAACCGCAGCTCAAAGAACCGCAACAAAGGGGCAGGGAAGAGGCGGCGAGGTACCCTAAAACCTCAGCGCTAAGTCGATCAGGAGGCCGAAGGAGCAAGCGGCAATCTGGCGAAGTGGCGACAATGCTGTAGGGATTGGAGCGTCGCCCAACCGCTCTTGGTGATACGGCCATTGTCACCAGGTTTGTTCATCCGTTTATCCCTGCCGTGGGCTTTGGAGATTTCGGGTGTTTTTCGAGCACCTTGTTTTTCCACCTGAGGTTGCCACACTGCGGCCAGTCTCACAGAACATGAGACGGATTTTTTTATCACCCGAAGAGTGGCCTTCTCTTGAGAAGTTTAGGAAAGCGCCTCCAGGTCTTTACAGAGCTGCCAATCTGCGTGCGACAAGCCGAGAAGTCGAAAAGTTGTAAACAAATACGGACTTTGTGCGACAAAACCAGAAAACCCGAAAAGTCGAATTGTTTTGAAAGGTAAACCATTGCAACGAAAAGTCGAAACGTACAGACAAAAGCGGAGTACAGCATAGGAAAAGTCGAAGTCAACCAGTCGTATGTATGTATGTATGTACGTACGTAGGTATGTATGTATGTATGTATGTATGTATGTATGTATGTATGTATGTATACACATACCGTTACCTATGTATGTATACATACATAATCATACATACATATATA